AGTTCCAGAAGCCAGAAACTGGGCAGAAACTTGCACTTTACTTTGAAGGGGGAACCCTTTAATCCCTTTAGAATCCAGTTTCTAAGGGCACCCTCATGTTGAGAAACAACCAAGTTGCATCACAGCGGTAAACCAACTCAAACATGGCTGCTCGCTCGATTGCTTTTCTGGCTTTCTTCAGCCTGAGCGCAGCCACGGTTTTAGGGCTTCGGGGCTCATGCATCAGCCTAAATAATTAGCAAAATATCTCTTTGAGGTCTATCTGAGGCACCGTATACCAGAATCAATCTAGGACCATAAGTCCAAACTAGGCAGCCCGGCACACAGTATCCATGTGAGCCGTAGCCCGACCCCACCCGAAACCCTAAACCCACCTGAGCTATAGTCTAAACTGCTAATCTCCCCCTTAATAACCCCTATAATACAGAGACTATATAGGAACCAACGAACAAGAAAATGCAACTTGAAATGGAGACTGGGTGTAAAAATGGTTTATAGGGAGATTTGTTCAGCTACATCCCCTTTCAATAGGGGTTTACACTTAACACCGCGAGGAATACAACGTTTGCATTGAATTGGGGATCCTCTGTATTCCTGCTCCACCACTCTCGATGGGTGGGTGGTTCACTCTAACTACAGCTCTTGTGGTTCATCTCCGCTTGGGCCTTTCGAAGCTGCTTGTTCGCTTCCGCGCTCTGGTGTACCACCTTTCGTCGCAACTCACGTAGGAAAGTAATAGTGACAAAATTCATGACAATAAGTGAAGCAGAGTAATAGGAGCACATGGCAAGAACAGTATCAATGCAAACAGAAGTGACAATTATAGACATGAAATTCATACTCAACTGAAAAGGAGCAACAACGTTGGGGGTTGCAAAGGTGATCCTCTCATGAGTCAACAGATTTTGCGTGGGGCTTCCTTGGCTTGGCAAAGGTAGGTAACATTAATAGCAATAGTAAGGGAATGGAAAAGATAAAGGAAGCTACTACAATCGGGTTATATAGGGCTTAGGGTTTAGGGTATCACCGGTGTGCCAAAAGTATGGTTTCCGTGAAGAAGGGCCGTAACTTTTTGGAAGCCCTCAGCCCTGAACCCTGTATGTCGCTACCCGTCCCGATGCCTTTCTTTCTATCCCAATATCGATTCTGATATATCCATACACAATGCAGCCCTTAACCCTAAACCCTGAACTCTATTCAAGACAGCAAGGTGCCTGTTCGATGTTGTAGTCAATGCGGTCTAGGATGGAGCCCTGGTCTATGACCAGCACAGCAAGCTCCTCACAGAAAGCGGATTTAGAGCTTGGAGTTGAGGGTCCGGAGTTGTGGGCTTGGAGTTGAAGACCCTAAACCCTAAACCCTTAAGCCTAAGCATTTTGTAGAGTTTAGGATTTAGAGCTCAGACTGCAAGGCTTAGGGTTCAGGATTTCCTTCGGCAGCTCAGTACGAGGAGTGGATGTTTCAATTTGGGATACTCTTTATTTGTGGGGTTGAGGACAGTAAGTGGCACTTAGGCTTTGTGTTTTCTTGGGAGTTTAGGACAGGTAGTGGGAGATTAGGCTTTCCGGAACTTTAGAGTTTTGTATCTCGTCTGGGGTTTACGCGGTCAAAGCCTTCTCTCGCCTGTATCAAGGCCTTATTGGGTGCTGATTCCTGGTAGTGATGATGTGGCGGAGGGAAGGGATTTGTGTTGAATTCTCTAGATCGAACCGTCTGTGGGAGCGTGCTGCAGGAAGGGAAGGTTCCGAAAATGTCAATAGGACGAAAGTGTAAGGGGATCGTGAGTCCGGATCTGTGTCGCCTGACCAGTCTGTGGCAAGGCTTTGGCAAGCAACGCGCAGATTGCAGCAGATGTGCCTTGAAAATTGTGTGGAGATCTGTGATGGAGGCCGCGATCTTGTTGATTTCTTCGTTTCTCGTCGTCGCACCTACCATGCACGGAACGTGAACAGAAGCAGTCTCGCACACCATCGCGCGTCAATAGCATAGCAAATGAAGCTAAAGAATTCAACAAGTTGCGTTGCAATGACGAGTGTCAATCCTAGTAAGCACCTTATTAACCCTCGTCCGAACTCTAAACTGTGAATTGACTATTCGTTCTTTTTTTCACAAGGATTGCTTCGCAGAATCTGAGAGTCGCACTTTGCTCCATCTCTTGCAAGTCCTTGACACACGAGAGTCTGCCTAGAACATAAAGGACTGCGTAGGAGTAGGCCGGCTTCTGTTTGGTAATTACATGATGTGCAGATTATGCGTGGCGCCATGGAAGGCGTTGGGCTTATGGCTTGAGGGCTGGAGTTTTCGTGAATTACCGTTCCCCACATGAGGATCCGTCATGTTTTTGAGAAACCCAGCTACAATGAGAACTTGTGCAGCCCCGTTGTGTCTCTTGAGCTGAAGCCAGGGCCACCCATTTCAGCTCTCATACTCTTCCCGAGAATCCTCCCAGCCACTTAGGCTTTCCACTACCCGAAATGAACGAAACCCTGCATGATGCTATACATACGGGGAAGCCTAGAAATTCTGGTAGCTGAGTTTATTACGGTCTTTCAGGAATGCACGCCCCAAACCCTGAACCGTAAATCCCTAAACCCAAAGTGGATTTGCATCAGCTCTCCTGCAGCTGGCCATCAGTGAAACCTATGTCGGCATCGGGCCTGAAACACATAGCATTTGAGACTTCCCATGCCTCCATGGGCTCCCTGTACCATGGATCCGCCTGTGGAGGGGCCCTAAGTTTGAGAAGTACCCATTTGATTCAACATCAACTGTGCAATCTCCCTGCAGGTCTCTCCAACTTGCCCTACCCCAAACGAGCATGGAAAGGTGGAAGCCACAACAGGACCCACAAAGACGGTCCCTTTCAAAGGCGCCTTTGGGGTTTTCATGTTAGCTTGGGGGAGGGCACATGCGCTGGGCTGAAGGCATGCTTCCCTTTGCCGCAGAGTCGTCTATAAGTCCTCCCTTCTGGCGATTCCGGATGTCATTCAGATAGTCCTGCAGCAGGCGAAAGGCGGATGGATCCCCATGGTAGCACCTATCGTGGTCCCTGTATACACTGCCGCAAACTAGCCTGAACCCTGAAACGGGACACTAAAAAGAGTACCATCCTTTGAAGGGATGGCTGTATGGGGTTCAAGGTCAGTTTGGGAGAGGGGAAACCCTAAACCCCAGAATCCTAAACCCCGACTGTAAACCCTGACCTCCTGACCCCTAAACCCCTAAAGCCTCTACCCCCATAATAAGGCCTGTCACAATGCCCCCGCCCTAACATCAAAATCCCCCACCCTCCGAATATCCAATTTTCTCATTATCTGTAGCCCCTTTCTCTTTCACCAGCGGCTCTTCGAGGTCCGACTACGCAATTCGACAGAGGGAATAATGATGGAGAAGCAAATGGAAAAAAGTGGACAATGAAATGGAAACTGGGAGTACATAGGGCTATCGGGATTGCAAATTGCTACTTGAAAGCTCATTTGACTCCAGTCTACTTGCTATCTCTACTAACCCGTGTTATAAGCCCCATGGCCCCCTTTATTAAGTAGACTTACTACACGTCAAGAGAGCCTCTAAGCAGTTGGCATTGTGCTTTTCTGTCCCTCATATGGCCCGTATGTATCTCCCACATGGCCCCGATGTACATCGACGGCTAGCTTGCCTTCTGGGATTGCCGGAAGTGCTGTGAGAGCTGTTGCAGCCTGGTTTCCCAAGCAGAACAGGAAGGCTATAGGGTTTAGGGATAAGGATCCAGTCTTCTTTGCGGAACCTCTTGGGGATCAGAGTTCAGAGTTTAGTATTGGGTAATTGTTTGGTGCTTAGGGTTTAGGATTGCAGCAGATGCCACGTGCCATAACTGCTGTTGATACTCAAACAAAAAGTCCCAAAGTACAAGGTACTTAGGGCCATGCAGGAATTTTGATATGAAGCGCAGTGCCCTTCAATCAGGGTTTATGTAGGCCGGTATAGAGGCTCTACAGAGGGAACTTGGGATCTAGCTTTGTCCCTCCCCAAAACCACAGAAGTGTAGCTCTTGCACATGCCAAAAACAAACCGAATGTTAAGTTACCAGTAGCACAGGGCCTGCCCTTGCTTGCTGACAAGTTCAGAATCCCAAAACCTATGAACAAGTTCGATCGGCAACAATAGTGGGATGGCCACGATGAATCTCCACGCCGGAAAGTATCCCAATTTTCACTAACTATCTACTACTACTAGTACTACCACCTGTACCACTAAGTCCTGACCCTACCCCCTTGGTTCATTATTGCAACCACGGCTCCGTCCGTACACCAAAATTGAAGAACATGTTTTTCTTTGAGGGGGGTAGTATTGGCACATCAACAAAAAATCATTAAGCCCTAAATCCATCTTCCCAAAATTCTCAAGCCCTAAACATTGAGGCGGGAGCTGTGTGGCGAGATTTCTCTGCATGTTTTGCCGCAGCCTCAAGGACCCACATATCTGGGCATGTCAAGAAATCAGGGGTCCCCCTTACATACCCCAACATACCCCAGAATCCTGGATCCTTATATAGCTACTTCCATACAATTAGCCCCCTAAACCCAAAACCCTTAACCCTAGATCGCACACACCCCGTAGCTATGTCTTGCAAGCGAGCCTCAGGCCTCAAAGCTTCTACCCTTAAGTATTGCTTCCAAGTGAACAGGGACCTTCTGTATTCTGTAGTGGCTTAAGTGATATCCGGGGGCGGGTAACACATCTGCCCAGCAGAGCTTGTGGAGTGCTTACTCAAACCATGACAGAGGTCTTGTGCCGCAATTGTTCTGTTCCTTGTCCAACAATATTAATGCCTTCTGGAGCGTCTCCATGAAACGCCTAAACAGGGCAGGCGCGTCCAGGGTTCCCAAACTCCACTACCTGAAAGTCTGACCGCAACCCGCAGACCGTGCTCCTACGGCCCCCCATAGCCTGCAAAGCATCTGGGCCGCCAGCTCTCGATCTTTCTCAGAGGCAAGAGCAGTTGCATCTGGGCCGCCGGCTCTCGATCTTTCTCAGAGGCAAGAGCAGTTCCACGGGTCTTCACCTGCAACAGGCCGTCGAAAGCATCACCGGCTTTGGGGGTTCGGGGTTTGGGACTCAGGACTTTGGCTTTTGCAGTTTATGGTCTATAGGCTTGAGGCCTTCCGGGGATGATGTGGGGATTCTATGGTGGTTGGGTTGGGGACTGACACAGGATCACAAGGAATCCGGGTTCATCTAATACGCATTCACTGCACCCTGCGACGAGACCCATGTGCCTGGTGGATCGAGTTCTCGCATCTTTTGACCTCGTACATCCAAGAAATGTTGACTCTAGCCTGCACAAGACAAGAGCTATGGGACAGGACATAATTCGCACAGAGGAGCATTTAGGGATGCTTCTGACCAGCATCCTTGATCCCGGGAACACAAGAGATGCTCCAGAACACAACACATGTACGCAGCGATCCGTTGAGTGCAGGCGCTACACCTCAGACTGGCCAAATTCAAACAAGTCATGAGTCTCAATTAAAACCGTCTGAGCAAATAGCCCCACAAACCACTATTTGGGGTGGGGTCGAGTGAGGCCACTGTACTCTTACTGGTGGTTAATAGGAAATAAGGAATGGAATGCCGGGGACTACGAAGGCGGTGAGCATGGAACGCTGGAATGGAAGACAGAGATTCGTATCAGGTTGCATACAGGGACTGCTAAAAGGACCCTTTCCTTCAATCCCTATACTTACCAGCAGGACACACACTCCCCCGAACTAACATGAAATCTGGAAAGGGGTTCTATGAAGACGACTGTCCTTGTAAAGCGGACTGCATTATGGGATTTAAGGAGTAACTCGCCCAGCTCAGAGCGTCGCAAGATTTGAGACTTCATTGGATATTCGCTCCACCTGCGCGTCAAGATGAAGTAGAACTCAACATGGTTGTGTCTGAAAAGCTGGGGATACCCTAACCCGTATAAACGGATATTAGGACACATAGGCCAAAAGGTTGAGAAATCATGGTTTAGGATTTCCGGGATTCCGCAAAATGTGCCACCCTAGGGGCCCTCGGGATGAATAAAAAGTTACACGGAGAGCACGGGGGTCCCCTTCAAGGATGGTAAAGGGTTCGTTTTGGAATGCGCCGACATACTACCACCTAAAGGGACTGTCTGTGCATGCCTCCTCCTAGTAGTAGTAGTAGTAGTAGTAGCAGCAGTAGTAGTAGTAGTAGTAGTAGTAGGAGTAGTAGTAGTAGTAGTAGTAGTAGGAGTAGGCTCCGGGTACGTTCGTGACGGT